TGGCTCGAAATTTCTGAAAAAGTGGAAAAACTATGTGGCTCACCCCATGCATGAAGTTCCATAGCTGTGACATCAGAAGTGGAAGGCAGATTAATGCACATCGCTATCATGGGAAAAATTCAAACCGACCATAGTTTTCTTTGACCAACAAAGAACGCATTAAAACGAAATAGATATACATACGATTGGTTTTCAGAGCGAGGTGCTCGCCATCAACAACCACATTCGCTTTACAGCAATCAGATATTTACTTCACAACGATTGAAAAAAATTAGGCTTGTAACTCGAAACAGCTTCTACATGGACTAATTTGTGCGCTCTTTTAGAAATGAAGAACTGCCATCATTTCCTTACAGAGTCTCGAAACTAGACTTTTTCTAAGTGGATTCAAAAAGACGAAGTTTATTTCTAGTCAGTCAACATTCGTAGCTGATTTGATTGATTAATGTGAGACAGAAGAGTCAAAAGCTTTTCCCCTTGATGTTATAAGAAAAAAAAGACGTCTTCATGTACTAAAGATTGAGGTCAAAACATGATACGGTAAGAAATAAGTACATTACATGAAACTCTGGTGGTTGATCGCTTGCTTACTTAAACCTTATAATACCATCTTCCCATCAGTGACAACAATAAAGATTATTCTTTAAGATGTTTAGAAAGCACTCCGTGGATGGGATGATTCGCTTCCGGTAAACAAATGCGAAGGTCTTCCAGTTTGGATAGAGGGTATCTAGCTTCTCCCTCAGTTTGAAATCTCCTTCTAACCCAATTTTTCAGTTATACGTCTTCAGCGACGCCTCACGATTTGCTTATTGCGCAGTGACCTATATTCAAATTTCGGGCAACAATCAATCGTGCTCCTTTTTAATATGTCTAGCCAATGTTGCGCCGATGAGTTAGATTACTATTCCCAAACTCAAACGATGCGCATCTGTAGTTAGAGCTCGCTTATATCACTTTGTCATAAGCCAACACTCCGGAAAAATCAAAGAAAAACACTTTTGGCGTGGCAGCATTGCCGTTCTCTACTGGCTCGAATTTTCTGGAAAGTGAAAAAAAAACTATGTGGTTCACCCCGTGCATGAAGTTCCATAGCAGTGACTGCAGAAGTAGGAGGCATGTTTATGGACATCGCTATCATGGGAAAAAATCAAACCAACCATAGTGTTCTTTGACCAACAAAGACCGCAATGAAACGAAATCTATATATACGATTGGTTTTCAGTGCGAGGTACTCGCCATTCACAGCCACGTTCACTTTACAGCAATCAGCTATTGACTTCGCAATGATTGAAAAAAATTAAGCGTGTAACTCGAAACAGCTTCTACTTGGACGAATTTGTGCGCGCGTTCAGAAATGAAGAACTGCCACCCTTTCCTTACAGAGTGTCGAATCTAGACTTATTCTAAGTGGATTCAAAAAGACGAAGTTTATTTCTAGTCAGTCAATTGTCGTAGCTGATTTGATTGATCAATGTGAGACAGATGATCAAAACTTTTTCCCCTTGGTGTTATGTGAAAAAAACAGAGACGTCTTCATGTACCAAAACTTGGTTTCAAAACTTGAAACTGTAAGAAATAACTACCTTACATGCGTTTCTTGTGGTTGATCGCTTGCTTACTTAAACCTTCTAATACCATGTCCCCATCAGTGAGAACAATGAATATTATTCTTTAAAATGTTTAGAAAGCAGGCCGTGGATGGGATGATTTGCTTCCGCAAAACAGAGGTCTTCAGGTTTGGATTGACGGGTATCTAGCTTCTCCCTCAAATTGAAATCTCCTTCTACTCGAAATTTTCAGTTATAAGTCTTCAACGACGCCTCACAATTAGCTTTTTGCGCAGTGAAATATGTTCATGTTCCGGACAAAAATCAAACCTCGTGCTCCTTTTTAATAATTCTAGCCAATATTATGCCGATGAAAAAGATAACTATACCCAAACTCAAACGATACGCATCTGTAGTTAGAGCTCGCTTAGCTAGCTTTGTCATAAGCCAACACTCCAGAAAAATCAAATAGAAGCACTTTTGTTGCGGCAGCACTGCCGTTCTCGACTGGCTCGAAATTTCTGAAAACCAAAAGAGTTTTCCAAAAAAAAAGATTTTGCTGCCCCTATTTTTCGTGGCAAAAAACATAACGAAGACTCTGATTAAGCACGTGAATACTTGCTCAAAAAATCCCTAAGACTTTTTTGGAAGTGATACCACAAACACAGCAAACAATCGAACGTTACCCACGAAAAACAACTTGTTGTAAAATAATTTTCTCAATTTGTTCAAAAAAGTTTACGTCGTGTTGGTGGAAGAAGTAAAAGAAGTTCATCACCCTTTAGCAGAAATCACCCAATCGCTCTTAGTGCCACAGAAGTCATAACACGTTTTTTAAATTGCTTTGAAAATTGCAGGCTTATTTGAACAGAATTTTTTTCAGCAGACGTAATAAGTTTTGGCCTTCGAGACACTCACGGAGCATTGCATTAAGGTGATTGCTCTGTGAAGTCGAAAACTTCCAGGTAGAGTCCTCCAACCTGCAATGGTAGACTTAATTGTCATCAGGCTCCCACAGAACGAAATACTCGTCCCTTTTATAATGTTGGCCTCGCCTTTTTTGTACCATTCACTGTCGTGCCGAAAACGGGTAAAACAAAAAGCTAACGTCTGCTATTACAACTGCTTCGTAACAAGGGCAGTTCTGTTAGAAGTTGCGGATCACTTTATTCACACAACATGCATTTCGGTTATCCGAAGGCTCCTTCCCTGTCATGGAAAATCAAGAGTTTCACTTAGTGACAACGGTCTTAAATTTCTCGGCCAGACATCTACCACATAAATGCCGCTCAATTTAGACCAAGAGTTTCTGAAACACATCAAGCTTTCCCAATCAGTTGAATGGCTCCTCGACCTACCTTTCGCTTCTGATTTTGCACGAGCGTGAAAAAGACTCGTTCAGTTTGTCAAACGAGCTCTTCTCATGCACATTGTTTCAACAAAACTGACTTGGGGCCTTTTCAACACAGTTGTTGTCAAAATAGAAGGCTTCAAAAAATCAAGGCCACTAACCTAAGTACAAATTGATAATTCAAACGAAGCTCCCTTAACCCCAAACCACTTTATACTGGTGAAGCCGTTTTTTGCCAGCCTTACTGGACACCTGCCAAATCTCGGTTAAAATGGAGTCAGCAAAAATTTCCGTCAGAAAGTGACGATATTATCTGGCTACTTGAAGAGTCGACTTAACGTGGGTTCTGACCACTTGGCCGCATGGCACAGCTATTCACTGGCCTCCATCGTATAACTAGATCAAGTGAAGTAAGATCGCTTTAGGAAGTTTAACCCGCCCCTTTTTCAGGCTCGAACATGTCCTCCTCAAATCCATTTATGGTTAGGGTGGCCGCGATTTTGTCCATGGTTTGACTATCTGATGAAGAAATTCTCCCGTAATTTAATGCAAACATCGTGATCATAACTTTTTTCGCATTTGAATGCAATCATTCATTCTGTAAATCATTTAATTATCAAGAGTGTGAAAAGAAGTTGACTTGAGTATAAGATTGCAACAAAATCCAAACAAAGGCTATTGATCCAAGTAGCCCCTCACCACCAGTAGGAAAATATATTGAATAAATGAGTTACTGAATTTTACCCTTCACCCCAGATCGAGGTACAATTTTAGGTAGAGCGAACCCATTTTTCTCTGGACATATTACACAAGTGTAACTCAAGGATAGTCGATCCTTATTTTCCACCTTGCTTTTCTTTTAAAGTTTAAAGTTTTCCCCATTGCTCTTCACTGCTCAAGTTTTTTTCTACGGGCATGTGATGGGAGATTTATGTGCGTTCAGTGTTGGTTAAACCCCTCTCACCTAAGCTAATGTGAGTTTTTAGGTTTCCACTAACAACGTGGGCTCCCTAAATCTATATTTCATCCAAGTTTAATAGCTGGTTTTCACTGGCTTAAAACTGAAAGTTTTAAGGCTCGTTTTTGGCTGTCTCTGACATATAGGCAAGAAACTGAAACTTTTTGTTTTGTAACATTTTCATCTTAAGCTGAAAAAATTCGCTTAGGGGAGAAGCCGGAGCCCCTGGTAAAAAATCCAATGGGACAACACATTGAGCTGGGAGAACTTTATGATGCAACAAGTGGATTGTTTTATGGAGGGTTAAGTCTGTGGAATTCATCTGACTTGGCTGGAAACAATACAAGGATATATCCAAGCCCAGACACACAATTTAAAGTTTCTATTGGCACAGAAGAAGTTCGTAGCAACAGTTCGCTGGATCTAAATGGCTCTGTTGAAGTCGACTTCAAGATAATCGCGGTTTCGGGGAACGCTAAGTACCTGCAAAGCAGTGGAAACGCTCGAAACCAAGCGCGGGTTGACTTAACTTGCACGAGAACTAACAGAGTGAGGAAGTTGGACACGGAAAATTTGATCGTTATGCCTCACAAAGAAATGATAATGAAGCAATCCAACATCACCCATTTTGTAGCGGAAGTGGTTGAAGGCGGAACTGCAAACATTACTTTCAAAAAAGATTGCAAAAATGACTTCGAGTTGAAAGAAGTTGCTGGGAACTTAGCAGGTAAATTAAATATCAACGTTGTTACGACTAGTGTGTCTGGCGGTGGATCATCAAAATTTGAGGACGTTTCCAGTTTCGAACAGTTTGACATCAGCGTATCAGGGCCACTAACAGGGTCGTTCACATCGTACGAGGAAGTGATGAAAGTGGCTAAAGATATTCCTAAGGAACTGGAAAAGTACAACAACACACTCATGGTTAAACTCCTTCCAATTCAGTTCATTGAGCCAAAACAACAGAAAAACATAGAAAAACCCCTTGATGACAATTTTCTGCGACAACTTATAGTTGCTCTTCGGAAAGCAGAAAACCTTCTCTATGATATCGACAGCATGAATGAGTTCGAAGATGTCAAGCTGATACCGTCCATTCACGAGCAACATCAAAACTTCCGAAATAGTTTTGAATCATGCATTTATAAATATAGATCCTTCGTCAAGGAGCTCCTGCCTAAAATAAGATCTGGCCAAGAAGATCCGAAGGCTTTGGACGAGAAACGATCGCGAATGGATGCTCAGAGCCAAATTTGTGAGAAGTTTGTGAAATTGAAGAAACGAGAAGCTGAATATCTGGACAGCCTGTTCAAAGACATGAATGAAAATGGAATGAAAAATTGCATGAAAATGCAGGCGAAAGAATACTGGAAGGATCAGAAAGTATTCAATCTGTGCCTCGCAGCGCTGACAAGTGAGAGACATCCTTTAGAAGATGAAATGATGAAGGCCACGCCCAACAGGGACATTGACGCTTCTGGACACCATTGGTACGATGATCCCGAAAAAAGGAAAGCAATCGGTGCAGGAATCGAGCAGATAAAAGCGAATAAGGGAAACGAAACTCTATCCTTCGATGTTCGTAAGAGTGCTCAAAACAGCGTTTACGAGATTTTTGATCACGGACTGTTCAAGTGAGAATGAGCTCTCATTGTGAAATATTGTACAAATCAAAAGAACGGAACTTTTATTCTTATGTATATTAAAGAAATTTGTTTGAGCCGTATGGAATCAGTAGCAAATTAACAATTGTCACATGAACAATTGGTAAAAAAGAAAAATGTACCCTTTTACTGTAAATACTTTCTAATTGAAGAAAAATACTAATTAAAAGCTGTATTCTAATAAAAATTTCAGATATTTCAGTCATTGCGTCAAAACATTGAAAAACTAAAGAAGAAAAAGAAGAAATAGAAATTATTTCTCAGTGTTAATGGTAGACAAGCATATATAACAACTATAACATCAAGCAACAGAAGCAGTGAGTGAAAGGGTTATTTAACGAACCCATTTGGGTTGCAAAGCACCACCCATTTGATCAAATATAATACAAAAGTCGTGATCTTCAATGAAAGTGAAAAAAAAATTGAAAACATGAAACAAAACAATGACGAAAAGATTGTTTAAACTTGAATGAACATAATGCAGCAGATTAATGGCATTGTCCGAGCTCTACGTCAATTATTTTTTTAAAAAATCATCGTTGAAAAAAAGTGAAAATTTTCGGTCTTCTTTTTATCCTTCCCACACATTGTAAAACAAAAGGATGTTTTACCGTTTCGTATTCTACGTAAAGGTCCCAAAGCATCACGAGGCCAAACTGTGCACAGTGGATTCCGCATACATATACCTGTAACGTAAATTTTGTCGGCACTTTTGTTTTGTTTCCGCGACAAAACTGATTTCAAATACAAATACGTGTAGCGTAAATTTTGTCGGCACATTTGTTTTGTTTCCGCAACAAAACATTGGATTCCGCGACAAAACTGATTTTGGCCTGTTGCGGTTTCCGCTTACAATGCAGAGAATGCACAAATTGGCCTCGTAATGAGTGCTGGTTTAATTTCTTATAAGATTAGTTCAATTCCCTACCTACCCTTGTTACAAGAACGCAATACAAATCGCGGTAACTACTTAAAAGTCACCTTTTTCAAACCCCATGATTTTGAGGTGAAACATACATTCAAAATTGGATCTCTCTCAGATAGCATGAAAAAACTAAAAACTCTAATTGAAAAAAAGAGATTGTCTGAATAAAAACACAACCCGAAATATAAACATTTTTTCTTCTTAAGCGACGGGCGGAAAAATTTGTTTCAAGGAAAATTAGAGACCTGGTAATTAAATCTAGTTTTTTCAAAAAGGTTCGTGAATTAAGTTTAGATATACGACACTGGGATCGGGGGGGGGGGGGGGGGGGATGATACATACAGGGATCATTGGGTACAGACTATACCTAATGATCCCTGTGTAACTATTTATTCCTAGTGATCCCTATGTATATTATTTATACCTAATGATCCCAATGTGAATTTTTTTCCAAAGTTTTTTCTTTCAAAACTTTTTCAAAAAAAAAATTTTTTTCGAAACTTTTTTTTTTCAAATTTTTATTCAAAATTTTCTTTGAAATTAAAAAAAAACGTTTAATTCCTATTTATCTAACTATTAATCCCTTTATAAATATGTTCTTCCCTATGTGTAACCAATGAATAACTATAAATAAGCATCCCTATGTAAAACCAAAGGTCCCTTTGTATAACCAATGACTCCTATGTAAAATTATTGATCCCTATGTATAACCAATGATTACTATGTAAAAATTTTGATCCCTATGTATAACCCATAATCCCTCATTGTAACCAATGACCCCTACTAAGAACCAATGATCCCTATGTAAAAGTTATGATCCAAATGCATAACCAATGATCCCTATGTATAAACAATTATCCTTATAAATAACCAATGATCCCTATACATAACCAATGATCCTTATTTATAACCAGTGATCCCTATATATAACCTATGATCCCTATATATAACCGATGATCCATACGTATAACCAATGATCCTTTTGTATAACCAATGATCCTTATGTATAACCATTGATCCCTATTTATAACAAATGATCCCTATGTATAACCAATGAACTCTATGTATATCCAATGATCCCTATGTAATTATAATGATCCATCTATGAAACGAATGGTTCCTATGTAAAACTTATGATCCCTATGTATAGCTAATGAGCTCTATGAAAAACTATTGACCGCTATTTGTTACAAATGATCCCTCATCTCATCATCATTATCATACCCAATTTGCCCCTCTCCATAAAATACGGTCCTGCGGGTCAGCGTGGGTAAAGCAACGTTCATTGCTATCATTTTCACATCATCTAACCTGGGTTTTTTGGTCTCTCACGTCTTTTGATGGAGAGATCTTCATCTCACTGGCAATTTTGATGCATGAAGCGGAGAGAGCGCACTCACCATGACCAAAACATCTGAGGCGTCTGCACCGAAGGACATTGATAATGTCACAAAGACAGCACAATGGTACTTCTGAGAGTTTTTGAGGAGACCAAGGCCGATGCGTGAGATCAGTAACTTTGTTTTTTTTGTTGACTCGCAGACCTTTACTCTCCAAATCAATTTTCCAAATCTTGAGCCTAGCGATGGATTCATCAAGTGTATCTGCCGTTATAACTAAGTCATTCTCATAGAAGAGCTCTCAAGGTACTTGCTAACGTTAATAAAATCGCAGCGAGAGGACCTCTAGGACGAGAATCAAAAGATGTGGACTTCGAAAAGAGCCCTGAGGTACACCGACATTCATTTTGAATTTTTCGCTGTACTGGCCGTTTACTCTTATCCAACTCCGAGCATAACAGTCCATACGCCGGATGACCTGCTGTGCCCGATCTTCGTTACAGAGTTTTTGAGGTACCATCACAGTGCCTGCCTGCGTACACAGTCAAAAGCTTTCTCGAGATCCACGAAAGGACAGTAGAGAGGACTGTTAGCAGCAATGTGTTTTTCCTGTAGTTGTCGGATGGTGAATATGGTCTATACGCGCCATCCTACAAATGATGGGTTTCAGCACTCGTTCTACCAGCTTCATGACTTCATCTGTAAGTTTCAGTCCTTGATAGTTGCCACAATTTAAGACCTCTCCTTTGCCTTTGTAGAAGTTCATAATGTAGCTCTCCTCCAAGTTTGCAGGGATAACACCATTTTTGAAAACAGCTTCAGTTAGATACCTCATCAGTTCGACGCCAAGATCTTCAGCTGCTTTCAGCATCTCAGCGACAACGCCACACTCCATTTTGCTGATGGATATGTAAATCAATTTTCTGAAAATTTCAGGTGGCTGACCAGCAATTGATGTAGTCTTCTGGAGCGTCTCACTTGGCCAATCAGTTTCTTCATAGTGTTCAACTCACAGCTCTAATTCATCTTTGTCAGGGATAACTAGCTGATCGCATCATTCCACACACAATTCTCGCCCGAGATCTCCTGATTAGCGCTATCCATCTGCATAGCAATCCAAAAGACAGAATCACCATTTAGAGAAACTGCGATGACTTCTCCCTTCTGAGCAGTAGACTTAGGTAAACAATATAGTTTGACTTGCGCTTTGGTTCCAGATAAAATCTCGACCCTTCAGCGCTTCAGTCGTCTTGTTTATTTTCATCAAGACTTTATTAATTTTGAAACTTACGCGTTTTGCTTGCACAACGTGGTCAACTTGTTCATTCCAGCACTAATGTTCAGGTCTCCAGTTGTGAATCTTTGATAGACCAAATACTTCAGTGGCACCCTTCAAAGCCGGAAATTTTAGGCGAGGAAGAAATACTCAACATGAATGGTTGTATCACAAACAGACTGAACAGCTGACAGCTCGTGTTTCTGAAGGCCCTCCTGGAAATGGTTGCCTGTGGCAGCGTCTCTAAGCTTCCATGCGTGCATGTGAGGTTTGAACTTTCACTTCTTTGGACGGGGTACGTTACGGCGAGATCGCAAACGACAAATTAATGTTGTTAGACCTCGCTTGGAACAACTTTAAAATCAGAAACGGCACTGCAAAAGGACTTACGATAGAGTAAGTAGTCCAGCTGCCTTGAGTGTTCACCCGAGCTATATGAGGTGAGGTGGGAGTCTCTTTTTTGAACCAGTTAATGCTGAATCGAAGGCCGTTGGCAACAGAAAATTCCAGGAGACGTTAGCCGTCTGTAATGCGCAAGCCGTAACCGTGTCCACTGTCTTGCTCTCGATAACTACCGTTAGCAGAGTCGACGTACCCCTTCCAGTCGCCAACCTGGATTAGTTTCTCAGAACCTAGAATCTTGGCAAAAGCTCGTTGACAGTGGCAGGCAGGCTAGCTTGCGGAGCAGAAACTGAGACAAAGGTGAGAACTATTTTTTCAATCATCAATTTGAGTATGATGATCCTGTCCGAGATACGCTGCACTTCATTAACTTCATCGACACAGGCTTCAGCAACGAGCACACCGGCTTCGCCAAGACCTGATTCGTTCGAACAGTAGTAGAAGCTGTACTTGTCGCCCTGGCCTTTCATGGTATGGACCTGGTTAGCTGCCACACCATCTTTCCACCTGTACCTGTGCGATTGAACAACGCAATTATTAAATTTTCTCTTCGATGGAGTCTCCAGCACTCCTAGTTTTCAGGTTACCTTCGTTCCGAGTGGCAACTCTGATTTTACTCAAGACCGGAGGGTTTCTACGATTTGCCGCAACGACCGGACCCTGCTTCCCGCATCCGCGAGTAAGCCAAGCCCGAGACGTTTCCTGCATTCCGATTAGTATGGCTACAGGCACCAAAAAGATGGTTTTTTTCTGTCGAAGACTTTGTCATGAGATTGAAGCGGATTTTTGAACGGAACGGATTTGTTTGCAGGTAAGAAAAGCGTGCATGTATCTAATGGGTGTAGATTTCTCTCTCTTAACGTACAATGAACCTACATTTCCAATTTTTGTGTGTCTGTTTGCCTGTATGTATGTTTGATTGCTTGCATTAGTGTCTGTATGATGTTTATATAAAATCGTTGAGACGAATAACTGTATGCAATTCTATGTGTCCGCTTATAAAAAAGTTCAATTGCCTTGCGTTTTCTGTG